TCTAAGACATTTTCTTATTTATCTAATCTGTGATGTGATGGAATATAGGCATCTGGCTTTGGGTAATCAGAGGAATGAGCATTTTGTCTGTTTCAAGCCCTTTCCCCTTTCTAGTTTATTCTTGTGTAGGCAATGTGTGGCAAAGAATCCCCTCAGCCTCTACCTTTTTTGACTGGATTATCCCAACCAGGAGCAGAAGAATGTGTTCTTCTTCCCAAATCACTAGGGAAAAAAAATGTGTTGCAAAACCTGAGGGTGAAATAAAGAACTGCCTAAGGATCTTATTTCCTTCTAGGACCTGGGTTATTATTTAAGTTTCAACTGTACAGAAACATCTATACCTGTATGCTGTAACAACCAAATAAATATTAAACTCCTTACTTCACAAAGGGCCTGATACTGTTTTTTCACCAGTATTACTGTGATTTTCTGGACCAAAAGTAAGTTCCTATTTACAAAAAACATATGCACTAGACCATGTTCATTGACCCTTTCTGGCAGCTTCTCTAAATGTTCTGTTTCACATTTAACTGAAGGCAATGTTGCAATTAGGCTGATCAGCTCAGCTGGGACAGCCTTTGAGTGGAGCCCATGGAAAACAGCTAAGTCTGCCAATTAGGCACTTCCAACAAAATAAAAATTCAGAAATAATTTTGCTTTGGGATGTTTTTATTTATCATTTGGACACAGTCCATATGATAAAAGAAATCAAAATTTGTATTCCTATTATGGAAACATGGATTAAATACTTCTCAAAGGTCATTGAAGCACACAGGATGGTGAGATGTTTTGCTGTAATCACGGAAAGATGATAAAGGCACTGAGATTTAGACAATTTGGGTTTGCTTCACAGCTCTCCCACAATCTCCCAGTGCAACTTACCCAGGGCACTTAGTTTCACTTTGCTGCAGCTCCCCATCTGTCTAATGAGGATAATAATATTTTCCATTTGTCTTATCTAATTAGATGATAAACTCTACTGGCCAGGTACCTCTGCTTACTAGGAGTTTTATACAGAATGAGCATCCCCATGGGCTGCCTGCAGGGCATACGGTAATACAGATAATAAATTACATAATCCATCATGATTTAATGTCTAGAGCTAAGACTTTTAACCTGGACTGTCCATTGAATAATGAAAGACCTTTTTCAGTGCAAGCATACAAATATAGATCTCTGCTAAACATGTACAAAAGGCAGAGAATTCAGGCAATTTAGCTCCTCAAACATAGATCTTAAGCAATTAACCTAAAAGATAATGTTTACACAGACACTGAAGGATCGGGTAGGTCAACGTTTGAGCATGAAAGTACTTAATCAGGCATACACTTCTTTAGCAAAGAGAAATGGTTTGTTCACGTGTGCATACAGCACCTGCCTGAAGTCAGTGAGTGCTATGATCAAGCCACCATAGCTGATTGTGCTGGAGTGGTACAGCAAGGTGGTCCCTCAGCTCCTGCAAGGACCTGCCCTCAGCAGGACAGCACGTGCACTGCAATGGGTAAAGAGCAGACAAGCCAAAAATTTTGTTAAAATTCACAAAGATGATGGATATGGCTAACAGCTGTGATAGATGTTATAACTACATCCCATTTGCAAAGGGAAAATGAACAAAGATAGGTTAGTAATTTTGTGTCAAGATAGCCTATAGAGATTTGCAGCACAGCTAGATGATCCAGCAATGCAGGACCAAATACCTATGAAAAAAATCAGTGGAAGTCCATAAACTAACTTTCTCAAGTCAGACTCAGCTTATTACCTCTGTCACCAGCTGCAGACAGTGACCCAACCCATCAGAACAATGATGCCATTTTCTAATTACAGCTGACCTTGTAGCAAAGGGACCTCTGTCATACAATCTTGAGCAACAAGACTAGCAGAAATGTCAAAAAAATCGCTCTGAAGCAAGAAAGATTCACCTGCTTCATTCACCAGTTTGCATCTACATTCAGATGTAAGATTACCTACACCAGGTTGTATATTTATCTCAAGAATGCCTGTTGCTTTGATTTCCCTAGGGAAATCTAATAATGCAAAACTTTATCTTCTTTCACATTGTAGCTAGAACAAATAAGAATCAGTGCTATTCTGTGTTCACCAAGATCTTAGAATGACAGCTACAAAACTCATCCCATCTATGTACTTGTGCAGAACTCATAGGATGGTTGAGGTTTCCTTTTTTTATTTTCTTTACATTTTCATACTATTGTATTCCTCTGCATGCAGAGAAATAGGAATGGGCCTGTTTCTTAAAAGATTAATGAAGCACTCTCCTGACCATACATTGGCACTGAGTAAAGAATATCTGCCAGCTCCTTAGTTCATGGACACCATGTCAGTCCTTGCAAGTCCATAATCCATGAAGCTTTAGACTATCTAAACTCTCTAATCAGAGAGTTAACGAGTTAACTACCACAATCATTCCTGACTATGGTACACAGCTATGCAAAAATCTCATTTACAAATTAAACTTTACATCTGCTTTTGACTTCCTTTCTCCATCTGTCCCCTGCTACTTAAAACACTTGGTCTGTCCTCCTTTCTTTCAAAAGTCATTGGCAAATGCCAGAGGTAAGCAATACTAACATTCATACCTAGCATCACAGCAGTCTAATACCAAAGAGCTTACAGATGTGCTGACAACCCAATACAAATGTCACGTGGAGAACACAAAGACACAGGATCAGAGTCTCATCTGCTCTGCAACCTACTGCATGAAATGAAAAGAGACTGAAATGTCTCTTTGATATTGCTCATTTTTCATTCACTCAAGCAAACTTCTTTGGAAATCTCATCCTTTATCACATCATCAAACAACAGAACTATTCCTAAGGCAAGACCATACACAAACATCCTTTGTCTAACACATGTCTAACACCACACAAACTTCTGCTTCTCCAATGCAGGTGGGTTGAGCTACTAGTTCTTCCTGTTCTGCTCCCTCACAGTTTATTTTATGATCCCAGTAGTGCTCCATGACTCCTCCAATATCTCCAATGTCTTCCTCCAAACCATCCACCCCAGTAACAGCAGCACATCCTCCCAACTAGTAACCGCCACTTTCCTTTCCTCTTTCTTCTGATTTTAGGATGCAGAACAAGAGATGCCTCTGTCATATGGGAAATTTGTGTTTCCAGTCCTTGCAGGTCAGACTACCAACAACCTACCACTAGGATAAGGTGCACTATGGGAGATATGAGCAAGTGGAGATCCAAATTGTTCTTGGTTAAACCAGGCATGACCATGTAAAATCAACAATCTAGCTTTTACTTCTTCCTTTCCTTTTAGTACTCCATCAATAACTTTTCAATGGTTTCAAGCCCACCAGAAACCTGCTTCAACTGCCTGCAGACCTTGTCTATCTCCTGTCCCCCCCGTTCCCTAAGTTTGTTTAGCGCTTGTTTCTTTACTGGTTTAGAATCTCATAAAGTTCAACAAGGCCAAACAAGGCCTACAAACATTTCCATCTCCTTAAAAGAATGACCAGGTAAGGTTGGCTGAGTACATTCACCCTAGCTGCAGCAATGATAGCTGATCAAGGGAGGCTTTGCCCTTACCAAAGGGAAACCTGAGGGCCAAAAAACCACATGAAACAAAAGGCTGAAACTCTTCCAGTACCAAGGACTGATTGTCAGATTCTGACCTGATCCTGACACACAAGAAGGCACTGCTCACTGCTGGTCACACCTGAGCTATGCCTCCAAAAAAGCACAAAGTAGGTGATAAATTTTGCACATATAACCTATACTTTTAGACTCAGCACCTGTGGGCTCCTGTTGCATTAGCATTGAAGTTGTAACCCATTACATGTGGCTGGCCAGATGCTTCCTCCACAAAGTGGGTATTTATAAGACTGTTGAGAATGTCAAGGACTTTCAGCCTTCCCAGTTTAAATTTCCGCTCATATAACTGCCTTACTTTCAATTTATATTGTTCATTTTAGTTTCAAACCACATACCTGCCATAGAAATAGCCAGACTGACTAGTCCTGACTGGTTAAAAATCGGCAGAAACAACTAACTAAGACAGAGGTCTCAAAGAGTCCCCTGTTGAAGACTTGGAATCTCACAGTCACTTAGGAGATTTGAGGGGCTGTCTGCCTGAACTCATTCTGTAGTTCCCAGGGGAACAAAATGAATATGTGAAGCACAGTAAGGAACAACCTTTTACAAAGGCATCACCAGATCACCAAACTGAATCCCAGCTTCACTTCACTAGGAAGTTTGTCAAACCTCATGGGGAAGTCCTAGACTGGAGCAGCAAGATCACCTCACTTCGTGGTCCTAAACTGAACAGGATGCAAAATATACACTAATGCCAACTACAGCAGGTATTCACTACTCCTAAAGTTCAGCTTTGAGTGGCATAAAATTACATTTTGATAAAATACCCCAGGGATGTGGCTCAAACCGCTGTGAAATCATGGACAGCTGTCACTTTATTAATCTTTGATTTCACAGCAGTATCCTTGTGCTGGCACTGTTGCTTCCTGACATCTCAGCTATTTGAGAGTAAATGATTGGCAAAACCACCATTGTCAAATCTGAAGGTCTTGTTTTTCAATTTAAACCAAAATCAACCTCTTCACAGTGTTTCCTGCCTACACTGATCTTTCTGTCCAGGACTTCAGATCATCCATCCCAACAGGGCAAACATTTGGAATAGATCTCTACCAAAGCTGAGTAAAAAATAATTCAAGGATATACTGCAAAAGATGTCCTCACAAAACTCTATTTCCCTGAAAAGTTCAAGGAATCCTACATCACCTCTAACAATTCCCTTCTTGCAGGTCTCATCCTCCATGCCAAGATTAAAAGCATGGTCAGGGATGATCAAGCAGCTGCTTAAAGTGACTGAAGCCTGATTCAAACATGACTCACATCTCATCTGTGTCAAGTGAGCAACTTGTGTTGAAATCCCTGTCACTGTAACATGCATTGGAATAGTAGAAGCACCATAAGACAGCAAACACCACAGCAACATAGTGGTTTAATACTCACACTCAGCAGGAGGCACTTGTTTTCTTTGATGGCGCCTATGCAGCCCACGAAGCCAATGATCATGACAAATGTCCCCGTGACGATCAGTAGGTTGGCAGCAGACAGGGATGGGAAAGAAGAGGAGAGAGTGGCAAAGTTCCCTTGGGTAACAGCCAGCCAGATGCCTACACCAAGGATTCCACAGCCCCCCAGCTAGGAAAACAAAGAGAAACAGAAAAACTCAGTTATTGTATCCAATCAACTCCAGATATTAATCCATGTCAATATGGCAGTGGTAGAATGGCTCTGCTGAGGTAACCCAGCAGTCACACCTAATAAGAAATGATCTCTCCCTATGGCATTTTCAGTAGGACAAACAAAGGAGAAAGAAAAAAATTACAGAGAACTCATCAGTAAGATGTATCACTCAAGAAAAAGACACATATTTCCTAAATTCAAGACATGACTTCAGATACCAGGTCTCTTCCTCTCTAGTGAAAAAGCAGACACTGAGTAAAGGAGAGGTTCCCAAAGGTTCAGTTCTCCTTTGGGAGAACTGAAAAAATTCAATGGGATTGAAAAAATCCATGTCCTATTTAGGTACCTTTGAGAGCTGCCCAGAATGGCTGAAGCACTTTTGATACCCTGTTCTTCCCATCCTAATATACACTGTCTCTTATCCCTGACACATACCATAAACAAATCTTGCCAGACCATTTGCCTGGCAGAACACCCCATTATTCTTCGTATTAGTTCCTGTCCAAGGTCTAGCCTCTCTTGGAAGTAAGAGAGCAGTTAAAGTGTAAAAGGACCAGAGAAGGAAGAAGAATCCTCCCATAACATCAAACCCCCCCAAATATGTTTACTCCTAATGTGGCACTTTATTGGTAACTCAATCCTCAGAAGAGAACTTGGCTGGTTTAGGAAAAATTTGAGGAGGAGCGGTAATACAGGTTTCCTAGGCACAGCAACAAGGAAAAGGGAGGATGCCAGCGCAGGCAGCAGCCACCACAAAAGCATAAAATTTACAATTATTATATACACAAGGAACTTCCAAAAACTGCAAACATTTATAAGCATGCTGCTTATAACTGTGAGAAAGCCTGCAGAATTGTAACAATCTCAGTAAAGCTGAGCAATTAAAGAGAATTAAATTGAAGGGGGTTTTGCATTATTATATAGTCACAATGCATCTCATCACTTAGGTTTCTTTCTTTCCTGCTCTCCCTTTAAAATAACCAATTTTTATTGAGTTTTATAATTGCACTTTATTAACCAAATCAATTAAAGGCTAGGAAAGAAATTGTGTTCCTAATAGTATTAAGCCAGACACAGGAGCATATCCATTAAATACCTGCATAAAGTGGATGAACATAAGGCAGCTCATGAACCAGGGAAGGAAAAAGATAGAGCTAATCCTGGGGCAGAGCTAAACCTCAGAAATGAAACATAGAAGAGAAACACATAAGTCAAAGTAATTTCTTACACTAATTACTAAGGTTGTCTCTGAATGCCACTGAATTCCTCCCCAGTAAAGGACAATAAAGACAACTGTGTTTTAAGGCAGGACTCCTCATCCCAGCTGCAAACCAGTCTATTCTGCTCAGAACTAAGGGACTAAACTACACCTCATTGCAATGCATCTCAGCTGCATCAATCTGTGTGTCTCCACTGAGAAAAGGAAAACTCCTGGACACAGGGGCTCAAATCACTTCACTCAGTAGCCTTTTCATATTACAAGCATCCCATATCACCATATTCACCCTTTCTCAAGTACCCTCTACAAGAACCATGGAGGGATAGTCCATGCCATGATCATATATCCTGGAAATACCTTCCCTCTATGTCCACTTACAGACCATGGTCTTTAACATGGTCCAAAATGATTAAAAAATAACCAAGGGAGAGGAGGGGGAAGAATACTTAAGGAAGGTAACCCACAGAAAATCATTTAGGATAACTGAGGGAATATAAACAAAAGCTATCATCATGGCCCAAGGAAAAAAAAGTTGAATCAAATTAGGAATAAATTCCCTAAAATGGGAATAAAACTCTGAATGTCTATCGGACTACAGAACAGCATCAAAGGAGAGGTGACAGACACCCAAGCTAAAACCAAAATGGTCAGAATGTTGAAATAGAGTCAGGAATAGGACTAAACTGGCCAGGGAATGGGGTAGAAAGCACAACTGTGCTTCTGCGTCTTCAGCCCACTGGAGGTTCTGCCTCAAAAATCAGCCTTGGAGCTGCAGGCACAGTGAGGCCGCACCAAAAGACCAATTAAGCCTAACGAAGGTGGATGCCCAGCAGCAGCAGAGGCATGACCTTGCAATATGTTTAGCTACTATCTTCAGTCCTCTGTTCTGAAGCAATTCAACAGCACCAGTAAGAGGCAGCTTTTTTCATCAGCTTTCATGCTCCCCGTGTTGCTACACTGCTCTGAGTGATACCAACACTTACAACCAACATCAGTATTAAAGCAGGATGCTGTGAAGGCAAGACCTGCTTGCCTGCTCCTCCATCACCCACTAAATTCTTTATGACATTCAATGCATAATACTTGAGACATTGTTGCCTGGACATTTGAATCCAGTCTCTTCTGACTCCAAAGTCATTCTTGCTTGCGGAAACTGGAAAATCACCAGTAGCACAAAACATCACAAAAGTAGGACACAGTTTGTGCAAAATGCCATGACTGTGGCTGTACCCATTTAGATCAGGGATGAATATTTCAGGTCAGTTGGTCAGCAGGAGTATCTCACTACACTGCCCTTGATTCAGAGATACTCTCCATCTTCCTGTTTTTGAAGAGATAACGCACAGCTCTTCCTTAGGTTGATTAACCAAACCCTGAAATGTGCAAAGGGATCCCTTGAACATTAAAACATCTGGATTCCCAATGTCAGCACACACTACTGAAGACTGCTTCACCCTAGTTCAGCCCTCTTCCTTTTCCCACATCAGAATATCCCCTCATGGTCCCCAAATAAATTTCCTAAGTTGTCACACCAGGCCAAGGGAAACAGGCTGCCCTTAATTCGAGTCTAAACAGCTCTTTAAAGCCCCCTTTTCCCCACAGAGCAAAGCACATCTGCAAGTCTCCATTCACTGGCTGTTTTAACACTCAAGTACCTGGTTAAGGAAATGCCTAAGGGAACCAAGACCCACCATGACAGCCACAGGAGCCTTTCCAACAATAGCCAAACGTATTCTCTTCTGAAACATTCAAAAAGCTTGCTCCCTGCCTGCCCAGCCCCACCCCCCATTCTGAACTGAACAGCAGCATAATTCCCAGTCTAAAATCCAGGGATTAGAGGGATCACATTTCTTTATTCTGGATCAGAGCCAAGAGAAAACTGTTGTAGTTGGTTCTATGCTGCTTGTCTGTTTTTACTTCTTCCTCTTGGTATCTAAGGCCCTGTTAGTTACGGAGAATTTTACGTAGTTATTTATGATGTTCTCTTTCCTCCTTACCCCCTCCTTTTTTTCTCCTTACCCCATCCCCACCCCTCAGTCCTTTCTTTTGTATCAAACAGTCAGAAGCAGAGTGAAGAGATGATAAGTTTTGACAGTTTTCAGGGCTTGTCGAGACGTGAAATTAAACAAAATCAAAACCATTAAAGAGGCTATTCTTGATAATTTGGGGACTTCCATGCAAACAGTGATGCTGTCATGGTTAAAAGAGAAAACATTAAAACAAAAAGATTAGTGAGAAGTCTACAGTTTAAACCTGATCTATTGGTAGCCAAATGAGAATCTGTATCAACTCCATTTAGTGAATGCAGAGTTGACTTTTAAAAAAATCCCCTTTTAAAGATGTCGGGCTGATAACAACTTTTTTTTTCATTCTCTTGTGAAATGTTTAACACATTATTTGCCTAATTGTTCATGATAATCCATTCTCTTGCAAGCAGGGCAGCTCATGGCAAAACCTGAAACAAAATGATGCTTCCCCTGACATGTTTTCCCCAATAAATGCTGCACATTATTTTACAAAATCTTTTATTCTAAAGTCAAAACAGTGGGACACCAGAAGGAATACTGTCATAGCCCTGAGACTTAGGAAATTTGAGTCAAGTGTCTGTTCCAGGACAGATGTCAGTGTAAATCTCAAATAGGCTATTTAGTACGTCTGTGACTGAGCTGCAAAATTGTGAGTAAAAGGACATGAGCAGCGGGTTCTTTGCAGGCCCTGGACTTTGCAATTGGCTCTGGAAGGAGCAGATTATTCTGCTCAAGACAAATTGTTCATAGGCACTTATACAGCAGTCAAGCAGTAAAGCAGATGCCTTCCTCTAAAAGCATAGACTGAGTCTCTCTTCTTCCCCAAGAGATACACAGACATGTGCACTTGCTCTCTTGGCAAAAAAAGCTTCCTATGGAATTAGATCCTCCACATTGTTCTAATGGGCTAGAAAATAAATTATTCAGGCTTCAGTGCATACATTTAGAATTGATCTTACAGTATGATAATCAAAGTAATCCCAAACAGCCCTGGATATATGCATGTTGGTGGAGAAAATTATTCTGAAGTTACAGCTACACACTTAAAATACTGCAGGAGAAATTGCCTCATTGTTCATGATAATGGTGCTGGTGTCTTTAAGTGGATTTTTTATTGGTTTTATTACATGGAAAATGCACCTAATTGAGGCTTTTCATATTGTATCTGATTAGGATCCACTCATCATACTTCCTCTTTTAGCTAAAAAAATTTCCTTGTGTATTAAGAAATATGCTGATAACAGAATCCAAGTGAGTTCTGAAAAAACAGTTGTTTTGCAGTTAAATTAACTTCCCTGGAGGATTTTTCTCCCCTAGTCTCTACATATTTAAAATAAAAGGGCTTTCTCAATCCCACTTGTATGAATATGCTTCCCCCTCTAAGTATGTAGTTAAAGCATACAGTGAAAAAGTCAACATCTAAGCATCAAGAGCAGCGATGTGAATGTTATCCAGCAAACGTTCTTGTAATATCAGGCATATTTAAATTACTGTCCCTTTCTGCTAGACACATGGAGGAAGTGGAAATGGAATACATATACACACAGACAGGATCAAATGAATCAAGAATCTTACATGGAAAAAGCAGAAGCATGTGTGCAAATGCAGAGGCCGTGGTGCTCTATATAAACGTGTGCAAACAACCTGTTCATGTAGCTGTTGCCTATCTAGGAGGAAGGAGGAGTCACTTCTGGAAAAGAACTTCAAAC